TTCTTATTATAAAATCCACACATAGACAACTGAGTCTCACAGAATGCTTTCACTGATTTTACCAAACTCTTGCGTCCATAGCCAACCTATGGTTTCAGTTGACCAGCAAGTGTAGTCCTGACATGAATGTTGATACTTTTGTTCACTTTACTGAGTCATGTAGAGGTGAAACAAGAAAGATGTGTGTCAGAACTTATTTGTCTGTGATGTGAGTAACTTTTTTGCTCAATCAGGTGACAGTTTGAGTCCTGAAGAATATTTCCTCATCTTTTTTGGTGCCATTCATAACATAACGGTTCTAGACATTGCACAAGTTTATCTTGCATTCTTAACGTTTTATCCATCGGTTTCTTAAGTGTAGACAGTCAACAAAACAATAAATCAAGCCCTGACTGGTAACAATTGCTGACTTCCCTGGTACTCCCACCATGGCTGACTCCCAGCGCCCAAGGTGAAGTCCCTGAACAGGAAGTTAGAAGGCCAAGTACAGTCGTGTAGCAATAATTTTCACCATACAGAGACAAAAGATGGAAATCGTCTTCAAGAGTACAGATGACAGTGAAATGTCGTAAAATAATCAAGAAGTGATGAATTTGAATATTTATGACTTTTGTTCTTAACTTATTTCATTATACATTTCTGTGGTTTAACCCCTACAAATAACTGTTTAATGACCAGCCAGAAAATTTAGCAACTGGCTCTCACAAGCCAGCACAGACCGACTGGAGCACACTCATGGACCTAGGAATCAGCATTAGTTAAAGCATCTGTGGATTTTCAGAACAGGGGACACAGCCCGGTCATTCACAGGTGAGGAACCTTAATGAGGAAGGTGATGTGGCTTGGGTGAGGTCACATAGCTGCTTATTGGCTTAATTAGGAGACCCCAGGCCTCAGGATGGCCAGCCTGGCATACTTTCCACGGCTCAGCGATCTGTCTAAAACTTGGTTCATTTACAAGGAAAGTACAATGAAAAAAGGAACAGAGTGCCCGGGGGAAAGTTCAGGGCATCAGGTAGAGAGAAAGGGAAGGAGAAAGGAGACTAGTCATGGACCCGGAAGGACGTCCCACACAGGGGACTGACCCGGAATTTGGGAACAGATGAGAGTTATGAAAGAGGAAGACAGCTAATTCCACGGTGGTCAAGAAGAAAGAAAACACGATTGATCGGGAGGGAGGATGCCAGTGATCTTTCAGGATGTGGTTTTTGTATGTGATCAGAGGTTGAAGGTAGATTTCCGTGGTCTATGGAGTTTAAAACAACACAACCAGAAGCCAAGGGACCGGAACACTCGTCTGAGGACTGTGGCAGTGAGAAAGGGCCGAAAATGAAACCCCAAGACACAGGAGGGCGGCAAAATCAAAGCACACAAAAGGACTTGGTGGATTCTGTTCCCATAAAGATGCTGTGAGAAAGCAAACAGAGAGGGAGGCTGGAAAGGGAGAAATGTGGGAGGCTGAGGTGAGTGGATTGCCTGAGCCCGCGGGTTCGAGACCCGCCTGGACAACTTGGCGAGACCTCAACTCTACAATAAATCAAAAAATGAGCCGGGCGTGGTAGCGCGCGCCTGTAGTTCCAGCTACTCGGAAGGCTGAGGCGGAAGGATCGCCGGAGCCCAGCAGGTGGAGGCTGCGGTGGCCGGGAGCGGCCACTGCACTCCAGTCTGGGCGACCGAGTGAGACTCCAACTCAAAAAAAAATTAAAAAATTAAAAAAATAAGAAAGGGAGAAATGGAGCCCTCGTTTGAGAGTTGGATGGCTGGAGTCTTTCCAGTTACATCTGCCCTCTTGAATCCATCCTACCCACTGCCAGATTGAGTCTCTCGAAATGTCAGTCCCTCTCCTGTCTAGATCAGCCAAGATGCTAATTCCCTTCCGCAAGGCCAAACACCTCAGCGCAAATTCCAAGAACCCTCTCTCCACCTCATGCATCCGTGCCCCTCCCCCCTTAGGCTCCTCCCCTTATCCGAGCTCCCACCCAGCCCACACCTGTTACCATCTCTGTGCTTGGGATTGGGGGTGGCATGATAAAATGTTATTCTGCAAGACTTACTACATTTAAAAGGCATAGAGAATAAAACAAATGCCCATGTTCCCGTCACCCAGCCTGAAAAACAAATCTTACCCAATCATTTGAAATCTGGCCTGTCCCCGGTGGCATCCCTCCCTCACCACCCCTCCAAGGCAAGCCCTGGACTTGGAGGTCATCATTCCGTGCATTTCTTTCTTTTTTTTAAATTTTGAGTAGGCGTCTCACTCTGTCACCCAGGCTGGAGTGCCATGGCACGCTCACGGCCATCGCGACCTCGACCTGCTGGGCTCCGGTGATCCTTCCGCCTCAGCCTTCCAAGGAGCTGGAACTACAGGCGCACACACCACACCTGGCTGGTTTTTGTGATTTATTGCAGAGATGAGGTCTCACCAAGTTGCCCAGGCTGGTCTCGAACCCTCGGGCTCAGGCAATCCTTTTGCCTCGGCCTCCCAAAGTGCTGGGATGACAGGCTGAGCCACCGCGCCCAGCCCATTCTGTGTATTTCTTAACACATGTACTATCTATGTAGAGGCAGAGTACCAGGGAGCCTTAATCTGCATTTGTTTACACTCAGCTACTGTATAGAATCCCTCCACACTGATACACGTTTAGCTTTGCTTTATTCTCTTCTGCTGCTGGTTTTTATTTTGTTTTAACTTGTCTCTCTCGTTGCTTATTTTTGCCCGTAACTGAACATGCAGGCTCGGGCATCAGATGACATGGGCACAAATTCTTATTCTCCCATTTACTTCGGGCAAGATACTTGACATTTCCGTGGCCGGTTTCCTCAGTTATAAAACAGAGGTGACAACACTCCCCTCCCTCATAGGGTGGCTGGGGGACTGAGTGGGACAGACCCTGCACAGGCATCCTAATGGGGCTTGCCATGTAAAAGGCCTCCTAGCTACTGACTCTTGTTATTTTTCCATCAACATGACTGCCAGGAAAACCAGGCTGAGCACTAAGGTCAGAACCACACGCCGTGCTCAGAAATCTCAGGCAAAATGTCAGCACAACAGTGCCAAGTATTTTCTGGTCCATGAGGATGAAAATCAGTTCAAACAACTCCAGAGAGCCATAATCATCTATTAAAATAAATTAACAGTCATCTACTCCTTTATATAGATCATTCCATTCTTTCTCAAACCGTTTAATCTTTTTAAAACGGAAAAATGTTTTTAACTAAAAAGACATTGTCGTTTCTTTCTGTCGCCCAGGCTGGAGTGCAGTGGCTTGCTCACGACCACCCTAGCGTCGACCCGCTGGGCTCAGGCGATCCTTCCACCTCAGCCTTCCAAGTAGCCAGAACTACAGGTGCATGTTACCATACCCAGCTAATTTTTCAATTTATTGTAGGGACGAGGTCTCACCAAGTTGCCCAGGCTGGTCTCGAAACCCTAGGCTCAGGCAATCCTCTCACCTCGGTCTCCCAAAGTGCTGGGATTACTGCACCCGGCCAATTTTTTTTTTTTCCCCCAATTTTAAGGCTCCTACAGATGGAACATGGTTGGGGCATGACAAAGCAACTTGCAAGGCAAACACAGCGTTAATGTGACTGTGACTAATGGTAACAATATGTGCCACCACCTCATCACCAGAAATCTGAGCCAGTAGCTGTACCTTCTGGATTTTCTTGGCCAGCTTATTTGGCCCGGGTTTGTCAGAATGTTCCCTGTCCATATCACCAAGTGCTACAGCAAAACATCATCAATTTCAAAATGGGACTTGCAAAAGGTGGATATTGAATTAACTGGATTCTTATTTTCCCACCCTGTCACTAAATACCAGGACATCTAATCCAGTGTCGACCGGCAACTGCTTCAAATCATGGGCTATTGAGAATTGCAAAATATTGAGTCAAACTTTTGATTACCTTTATCATGTATATTCCGCTACTAAGCGTTTTTCAGTACAAAGCAAATCAGTCACACACTCAAAATGTGAACGGAAATGGCTTTGTCCGTTTATCTGGCTGTGGAAGACGTGAGTTTTTACAATTTTCCTTGTTAGTGGCTTCTGTCAGCCTCAACAATGAATCATTCTCCCTAAGGAGAGGTTACCCCCCAGTGAAAACAAAGCTGATTTTCTGCCCCTTTCTGGCAGGGAGGTATGTGTCCCTTTCATCGTGAGAAGAATTTTGGGAAGCTAACAAAAAAAACAATTGACAGCCATCTGACGTCCATCCTCGGCATATGCCAAGAGACTTGGCCGCCGTCCGCGTCTTCCAGCTTTGGCCAGCGCACTTACCAACGTACTCCTTAAAATTGACCGTCAAGCCGGGCTCGGTGGCTCAGCCTGTAATCCTGCGCCTTTGGGAGGCTGAGGTGAGTGGATGGCCTGAGCCCGCGGGTTCGAGACCCGCCTGGGCAGCGAGACCTCATCTCTACAATCAAAAAATCAGCTGGGCATGGTAGCGCATGCCTGTAATTCTGGCTACTCGGAAGGCTGAGGCGGAAGGATCGCCAGAGCCCAGCGGGTCGAGGCTGCGGTGGCCGGGAGTGGCCACTGCACTCCTGTCTGGGCGACAGAGTGAGACTCCAACTCCAAAGGAAAAAAAAAATTGACCGTCAAGCCCGTAATAGGCAAGACCTTTTCCCTAAATAAGGAAGCAACTCATTATCAAAAGCAGACTAAGTGTCTAGAAAAAGCAATAAGCCAAGTTACCTCGTATAACAGTAAAATTCTATCAATGTCAATGACAGTAAACAGCATCATGCAATTTATAAGCAATTCTCAAAAGGCTTGTCTTCTTGGGATTCCTTTAGTCTAGGCTGACGGTAGAGCTTCCTACAACAGAGATTCCTCCTCTCTTCTTGATTCCTGGCAAAATCTGTAAATTAAGGCTCATCTTCTCTTTCCTATTTGGCTCTGTGTTTTTAGCTCTCAGGAGTTTGTCTAGAATGCTCCCAGCACACACCTCAAACTGCCCTGTGTTCACCTACCCGATGGGCCGAAGAACCTACTTACTTCTTAAAGCGTATTCTTGGGGCTCCACCGAATTCAGATCGGAAAGGAACTCATCAGTATCTTGCATGCACTTGAGAGAAATGTTTCTTGCGGAAGCAACAAAAGTTAGTTGGAAAGAGAGCAGGCAAAATAGGAAAGCTGGGCCCATCGTCATCTCTTAACCTGTCAAGATAAAGCTCCCTTCTTAGACACAGAACCTTGTCTTTATGAAACACTGGTCTATAATGTGTTGGGGTAAACGGGACGTGCTCGCTGCTTAGCAAGCAGAGAGACAAGCTGCGTCTCCTAGCCACCTGCAAAGCGGCCCAGATGAACAAACCATGGAAACCAATTTATACACAACTTGTTATTGTTAAATAAAATAGCACGGAGGGTGTGGGGGCCGCTGACCACCTGGCTTCCATCCGTTATGCATATTAACACTTCCAGCTAACATGGATGGGGCTAGATTTTTCTCTGGTTAGACGATCTGGTGTATATCTCTGGGTTTAAAAATATATACTGAAGATATTAAATGGTAATAGTTGGTTTGTGCTCGAGAATAACGATGAGCCTAACTTTAAAACATTTGAGTGAATGATAAGCCAAGAAGGGCTTCTCCATGATCGTCTGTGCTGAATAAGGTCACGCATCTGCTAATACATTTGCTGGACTCTGAAAGTGGTATCTGTGTGGGAGTATTGAACTCCCCCACGGGAAGGAAGTTATTCCACTAGGACAAATATGCACACGCGCCCACACATGGGAGTTTGGAAAATCCATCCTAGGAAGTGAATGATGCTGGCGGAGAACCATGGGAATGGTGCACAACTAGTTTAAGAAGACATAAGTTGTGTCGATCCGGATTTCTCACGGAGTAAATATTTTTTCCAGAAAGGCTTTCTTTAAATAGCAACCTCCATATGTCCATTCAAAATGCGATGCGACTTCTGCAGATCTTGTTTCCACCGTGGAACACATCTGGGCCTGTGGGTGGCCATGACTCAGCTGGATTTCCTGCTGCCAGTTGGTTTCAGAGCATCTTCTGGCATATCCTGCTCTCTCTCACCTCTGTTCCTTTGTTCTTGCCCTGCCTGTGTGTGGAGAGTTCTACTCACCACCTGCCGAGCATTCATCATCTACTCCTACTTATTCTTTTAAGGACATGTTGCCTTTTCTGGGAAACCCTCCTAGGCTTCTCCTCAGGTGAGAACAGGTTGAGAATAGCCTGTTCTCTCTGCTCCCTGATGACTTTGCACACTTCCTTTGCCTCCTCACAATGAAGACATCTATTTCTGTCTCCCCGTCTCCCACAGACTTTATCTTTCTGAGATTTCCTCTGGTGGTTTGTGCAGTGGTTAAGAGCTGAAGCTGTCTCTTACTAGCCGTGTGACCTAGAGCAATCGGGCTGCCTCACTGACCTCATCCGGAAAATAAGGATAATCATTGTCTCTATCCATTGGAATTATGAAGCTTAATATGTTTAAAGTACTAAGAGAGTACCTGGCCTATTGTAAATACTGAAGAAATCCCAGCTATTGTTATCTTTGTATTCTAAATGCACACTACACACCTGGCAGGTAATAGTATGATATATCAGACATCCAATAATGTATATATGGCAACATTACAGTATCTGACCTGTGATAGACAATAATAAACAGTAGCTATTCTGGTGATTTATTATTATTTGTTGTTGTTATTGGCCTAAGGAAAAAAAATTTTGGCACGCAGGCTGAAATAGTTAAGGCACTATTAGGTACATAGTTCCTTGAAAAACCAGATCATTAGATCCAAATTACAAAGGGGACAGTATCAAAACGAAGAATTTTATAGTAGTTAAAACTACTCAAAGATGAACTGTGCTCTTTCAAATGACCTTGAAGTCTCCAGCCTTGTTGGTGTTCAACTGCGAGCTTCTTACAGATGCTAGGAGTTCAGTCAGGGTTCTGCTGCTTGCCACACAGAAAGCCAGTCACGGACACAAGTATTGCCAGGGAAGCAGGTTTTCTATTTGGGTGATATCAGGCAGAGAGAACAAAAAATTCCTTCTCAAATCTGTCTCCCCACCTCAATGAAATCAGAGGCTTGTGGTGGCGGGCAGGAATGTAGAAAACAAGAGTTGAGGAAGGTCAGGAAGAGGAGGTGGCAAACAGGCAGGCTCTGGCATCTCATTGTCTGGATACGATGACCTGGTAAATTTCAGTTTCCTGATACTATAGACTTGAGGGTCTGTGATCTGGTAAATTTCAGTCTCTTGATGCTATGGGCCTGTGGGTTGGTTTCCTGAGAAAGGAACTCAGATAAGAAATATGTAAGTATGAAGTTTTAACAGGAGGGTCAGCTACTATGTTTAGTAAAAAGAAACTGTAACCATCAGTCCTATGGGGAAGTTGGACTGGTTTCAGGTTGAATAGGATGAGGTTGTTGCAGAGGAGATTCAAGCCTCAGATGGTTCTTGTACAAATTATCTTCAATGTCTGCTCTTTGAAACCTTCCAAGTCCACTTTCAAAAGTATTTTCTATCATTAGTGCACTGGCTTTTATTGCACAATTCTGGGGATACTAATTGAATTAGAAATTGAAATTTCTTTTTCTTTCTTTTTTTTTTTTGAGTTGGAGTCTCACTCCATCACCCAGGCTGGAGTGCAGTGGCATGCTCATGCCCACCACAGCCTTGATCTGCTGGGCTCAGGTGATTCTTCTGCCATGAGTCTTCCAAGTAACCGGAACTACAGGCGCAGGCCACCACACCTGGCTGATTTTTTTATTTATTGTAGAGATGAGATCTTTTGTTAAAAAAGGTTTTTTATTTTAAATATGTGGGGTATAATTTGGGGTTAGGTACACAAATGTTCATTATGCAGGTACCCTTGTCGATGAAGTGTGCCCTCACCAGAGATGAAGTCTTGCCAAGATGAGGTTGCCCAGGCTGGTCTCGAACCCCTGGACTCAGGCAATGCTCTCGCCTCTGCTTCCCAAAGCACTGGAATTACAGGTGTGAGCCTCCATACCAGGCCAAAATTTGCCATCTTAACTATTTTTAAGTGTACAGTTCTATGGAACTAAGTACAGTCACATTGTTGGTGACCATCCCCACCATCCATCTCCAGAACTCTTCCGCACGAATAGAAATTCTGTAGCTGTTAAACCGGCTCCCACTCGCCCCTGTCTTCCAGCCTCTGGCAACCTCCATTCTCCTTTCTGTCTCTGTGGAGTTACCTATTCTAGATACCGCATCTCTGGAACGGAATCATACAGCGTTTGTCTCTTTGGGACTGCTTATTTCACTTAGCGTCATGTCTTCGAGATTCATCTATGTTGTGGTATGTGTCAGAATTCCCTTCCTTTTTAAGGCTCAACTACATTCCACTGTATTATGTACCCCATCCTGTCTATTCATTGCTCTGTCAATGGACGCTCGAGTTGCTTTTACATCTTGGCTGCTGTGAATAATGCTGTCTATAAATATGGATTGTACCAGCATCTGTTTGAGTTCCTGCTTTCGTTTATTCTGGGTAGACACCCAGAAATGGAATTGCTAGGTCCTATGGCATTCCTTTCTTTTTCTTTTTTTTTTTTGAATTGGAGTCTCACTCTGTCGCCCAGGCTGGAGTGCAGTGGCCACTCCCAGCCATCACAGCCTCGACCTGCTGGGCTCCGGCGATCATTCTGCCTTAGCCTTCCAAGTAGCCAGAACTACAGGCACATGCCACTATGCCCGGCTAATTTTTAAAAAATTTATTTATTGTAGAGACGAGGTCTCACCAAGTTGCCCGGGCGGGTCTCGAGCCCACGGGCTCAGGCAATTCACTCGTCTTGGTCTCCCGAAGTGCTGGGATTACAGGCTGAGCCACCGAGCCTGGCCTCATATGGTTAATTTTCGAGGAACAACCATACTGTCTCCTACAGCAATGGCACTGTTTTATGTTCCCACCAGCAATGGATAAGGATTCCAATTTTCCCACATCTTCGCCAACATTTGTTATTTTCTGTTTTGTTTGTTTGTTTTGATATTAGCCAACCTAATGAGTAAGGCTGAAATTTTACTTACAGGAAGGAACTTGTTCCCCAGTGATACCCAAGAGAATAAATGAGACCTCCCTATACTTGGCCGAAGTGAGCGTTTATCTCTAGAGTAGCCCAGGAGTTCTCCATGGGAGGTAGGGTGGGCACCCTCTGCTCTCCCTTTCTTGGAAACTTTGAGAAATTCTTGTGCTGTTCTTGGAAGCGTGATGTATATAAATAGAATGGGAAGAGGGCGAAAGATTGAGAACAAGTTCAGAAAGAGGCTCAATATATTTGGTTGACTTTACTTTTTTTTTTTTTTTTTTTTGAGTCAGAGTCTCACTCTGTCACTCAGACTGGAGGGTGATAGCATGCTCCCGGCCACCGCAGTCTCGACCTGCTGGGCTCCGGCGATCCTTCCGCCTCAGC